GCTCCTGGGGGCCGCCATCTTGGCAGTCGGGTGACTACGGGTGGAGGGTGACGTCACGTAGATTGTCGAGACAGTTGACGGCGGCCGACCAGAGACATACATAGTCGAGGGCGGTTTGAAACTTGCTATTACGGAACTAAGACCGCTGCTTGCCTTTGGGGATGCAAAGTCACTTTCTCTTCCTCTGCTCAAGTTGAATTTAGGATTTATCAGGAACGAGGGGACCTGAGGTCCCCTCTCGGATCTCCCAAGAACCATGGGCCACCAAGTGAAGTGGCCATATCTCTGAATTCTGTCAACCTCTACGAGTTCTAACTTTCACGATATTAGTGTTTCGTTTTCCAAAACGTCACGTTTTCTATTGCAGAAAAGGAAAAGTGAGTGAGCAACGGTGTGGTGAAAGGTCCAAATCACGTTCAATTATCGCAAACGTTGTTGTGATAAGAATCACCTGGTCTGATCTTTGAGATGCAGATTCCCACCTTCCAAATACCAGAGATTTTGCATCAGTAAATCTAGTATGGGTCCTAGTAGTCTTGATTTTAACACGCTTCTTTGGTGATTCTGATGCGAGGATTTTGCAGACCATTTCTAAGAAACACAGGCTAGACTATGAGAATGAGATGTGGGAAAGACTGTTCTTTCCTCTTTCCGTTTGATGACCCTAAACCAAACCAAAGCAAACTCACTGCCATTGAGTGCATTCCGATTCATAGTGAATCCCACTGGGTTTCAGAGGTTGTAAATCTTTATGTAAGTAGATTGCCCTATCTTCCTTGCATGGAGCAGTTGATGGATTTGAACCACTGACCTTCTGGTTAGCAGCTAACTGCCTTACCCACTACACCACCAGAGCTAGGACGTTTATATATGGAAAAGAAGTTCTGGAATCCATTTATCAGTCAGACCTTATCACCAGACTGTTGTCACTAATGTTTCTAGCTCTAACTGGCAAAGCATGGGTGTTTTCAAACCCAGATTTCCACATTCTGCATTTAAGAAAAGGGTGTTGAAAACCATTTTGCCTGAAACAAAGGAGGGAGGTGGTGAGTTTTGCTTGGGTTTCTGTATGTTTCTTCTTTCATTTAAACATAGGTTTCCTGCAAATATTTCACAAGATCTTTTTGCCAAAGATCCCCAAAATTGGAAAAGCTCTTCCTAGTTTAATAGCACCTGGGTGCTCTCATTTGGTAAGGATTGCACTTGGATTTCTCTATCTCCCAGTCTTTTATTTTAAATGTTTTTTCATTAAATTATTTTATTTTATTGTTGTTGAGAATACACATAGAAAACATATACCAATTCTCCACCCAAATCACAATAAGAAGAAAAATACACCAATTCAACACTTTCTACATGTACGATTTAGCAACATTGATGACAGTCTTCAAGTTGTGCAACCATTCTCACCCTTCTTTTCTGAGTTGTTTCTCCCTCATTAACATAAACTCACTGCCCCCTAAGGTTCCTATCTAATCTTTACAGTTGCTGTTGTCAATTTGACTCTTTTTATGTTTAAGAATGAACGCTTCACTCATATACTCAGAGTTCTCACATCTTTGCTAACTAAAGGTGCATCAGGGAACCTAACTGTATCTTCCACATCTAGTCGTATATGACAATGGACCACTTTGTGGCTTTTCCTTCTGGACAGCACATTGTTTCTAGATGATCAGTCAAGTGGCTGTTCTCTCATTTCAATATGACT